CAGGAACAGACAAAGGAGTCAGTCGAAGACTCGTGACAGCTCAGGTGTAACGTGCTGGAAGTGCAAGGAGGTAGGGCATTTTAGGAATCAATGTCCGAATGATAAGAAAGTAAACATTGCTCAAGGCTCTGCGAGTGACGAGGAGGTCGCTCTGACTTGCTGTGAGGAAAGCAATGTGGATTCCTGGGTCATGGATTATGGTGCTTCATTTCATGCCACCCACAGCGGTGAAGCATTGCAGAATCTGGTTATTAGAGACTTTGGAAAGGTACGACTAGCGGACGACAGAGCTCTTGATGTGACGGGCATGGGTGACATAGTACTGAAGACCCTAGTCGGTTTCTGGACTTTGAAGGATGTCAAAGTTGTTACAGCCTTGAAGAAAAGTTTGATTTCTGTCAGGTAGTTGGACGAACACGAACACGAGGTGAAGTTCAGAGATGGGCAGTGGAAGATCGTGAAGGGAAATCTTGTCATGGCCCGTGGAAAGAAGAGAGGTTCGTTGTACATGGTCGGGTTACCATCTCAGGGAGTGACCATCCCAGTTCAGAAGAGAAACAAAGTCCGGTTCACAGAGTCTCGTGGGCAGAATAAGGTTGTCTGTGCAAGAGAGAAACCTAGAGGCATTGGTCAGACTCAGGATGAACGAGCGTGGAAAGGTTCAAGGGGGCCAGTCAGAGGTATTTATGGCAGTGGGAGCTCAAGAGGCGCTTCAGCCAAGTTGCCTAGAAGACAGTGGGTCAGGAGAACCAGTATTCCAGTTGTTGGAACATCTCCAGAAAATTTCTTGCCGAGTATGGAGAGTGTTTGTTCTCAGGATGTTCTAGGATCCGGCAGTGTGCGTCTGCAGTGGGAGCCGGTAGGGACCGAAGACGAGTCAGGGGCAGATTTTGCCGTGACTGATGTGTTGGAGCTTGGGAGAGCTTCAACGGGCCTTTCAGTTGTCTGATGATAGGGCCGCTGCAACAGGAGAACTGAGGAAGATTACTCGATGTACAGGCGATCATGGCGGATGGCAGTTGATGTTTATCAAGCCTCCAAGTGGGAGAATGTTGGGCTTTGTGGAGGCTTGTTTGTCGGCCCGGCCCAGTTGTGCGTAGCCCTAGTTTTTTTCCCCTATATATAGAGGGCTTGTACTTGTAATCTGTACCACAAGTGAAATAAGAAAATCCTCCTGTTGTAGCCGTGGATTAGGGAAACCGAACCACGTTAAATTCTTGTGTGTCGTTTGTGTTCCGTTTCTCTCGTTTCTCACAGATTATTTGTGTGTGTTGTGTGTTTAATTCCCTACAGGTTTGAGGGTGGGTTGTCGTTTAGGGAATTGTTTTTGTTACTTCAAACTATTTTTTTTAATGTCAAAAGGATGTGGTTTTGATCTTTAAATTAAAAATTTAAAAATCAAAACAACATCTTTTTGACAAAGGAAAAAAAGAAGCTTGAAATAACCAGAGGAGAGAGAACAGAAAATTGGGCGCTTGGGCGGGTTGAGGAGTCACTGAGATTTCCTCGGGGACATGTCTTCCCACCCCCTCTCCTTTGTCGCTTCCCAGTCCCTAATCTTGCGCCTGAGGGATGGGTTAACTCGACCCACAACCTTCAAATCGTTCTGGCTCGATCTAGACTCAAGATTTACATAATTCAGACACGCCCGAAAATAAGAGGCCTTTTGGCCACAAAACCAAAGAATTTGAATACTTTTGCGCCTTTCTTGGTGTTGGCAAAAAACCCAACTTGATCTAGAGAATTTAGCATTTGCTTTAGGTAGTTGCCGTCAAGTTTGTTTGTTATATCAATTTTTGCTTTTCTTCACTATCATTTTACATATATAACATTTCAGAGAAGCAAGTATTAAGTGCTTTTGTTTTCATTTTAAGTGCTATAAGTCAATCACTTACAAACACCCACCTAATATTCTGTTATCTCGAATATTCAATTAGAACTTTGAATATATTTTTCATATTATTTTGTGTGATAAATACAATTGAATTTTTATTATATTATATTAATAATTTATGCATATTTTTATGAGTATATTTTTGTGTACAACAATTTTTTTTCATGATTTTGAACATTAGTGTATGTGTCTTGTTTTTAGTTTGTTTGAACATTTTGTCTATAACAATACACATTTGTAATGATTGTTCAGACAAATATTGTGTAAATTATTTGTAGTTTTATTTATAAATAGGTTTATTTATAGTGAAAGCATGACTTTTGTCTCAAAAAGTTGAAAATTAAAATAACGAATTTTTTTATTGTCGAGTCTGATTGCAAGGAGGTTGTGGAAGCTTGATTGGTCGTGCTTCTGCTCAATCATCAAGAATTGTAAAAATCTCCGTGCCCTTTGTGACGGAGATCTCTCTTTTCGTTTTGATTTTCGCTCTGCTAATAAGGCAGCGCAACATCAGTTAGCGTGGACGGACTCATTTTACTCAGAGCAATTTGGAGTGGGTTGGATCACTCCCTGACTTCATTTCCAATAAAATTTAATCCATTTTTTGTTTCTCCCTAACTAACGAGTCTTTATTTTGGATTCAAATGGGCCAGGCTTAAACCCAAACTACTTTTCAAACAAAACCCAGATCGGATAGGAGAAATTGGGCCTTCTTCTATACTTTTTTCAGTCCCAACAAAAAATTGTTACTTCTTCCGTCTCGAATTGAGCATTCTTTTTTAGGTCCGATAAAAAAAAACATTAGTACGACGAATGGAAAAAATGGAAAAACTTTTAACTGGAGTATTTTTTTTGAAAGAGGACTGTATTAGTAACACCTTTATTTGTTAATGTTAGTATGTACTTCTCGTTTAATTTGTTAATTACGGAGTACATTACGAGTACAAAGAGAATGGAGCTTAGATAAGCATTCCAATATCTCTCCCATTCCATATGTTAACTATCTGTAATAACTTGAAAACTGTTAATTAACCAAAAAGTTTTCAACCAATTACAGACGTTTAACATGTGGAGCGGTACAAGTTTTAGACCGTCCCATCCAGAGACAACCAGTAATTAGCTAGAGCCAGAGAGCACCGGCGTCTTTGAGCATCTTCTTGAGCGAGCCGTTGATATGGAGGGCCATGACTGTGTTGGCCGACCCGGCGAACGTCCCGCCCACAAACACGGCGGGGACCGCCGGGTTGCATCCAAACCGGACGAGGGCCCGCTCCATCTCGGGGCCGTTCCTGTGGTCCTCGTCCAGTTCGTAGACCAAGGGGCTCACCCCTTGCTCGTAGAACAGCCTCGTGATGACGTGGCACATGCAGCATGAGCTCTTGGTGAAGATCACCACAGCCTTTTGTGACGCCAACTTTACTATACTATCCATATATGTATATTATATATTATTATTATTATTAAAACTATTATTGTTGTTGTGATTAGTAGTTTGGTTTGTTGTGGGGTTTGGAGAGTTTTTGAGGTGGAGATATTTATATGAAGTTTTTGGGGCGGTGTATTAAAAATACGTGTAATAATATTCCACTTTAATTAACTCCTTTTTTGTTTTTGTTTAATTAACTCCTTAATTAAGCAATAAGGGTATCAAAAAATGTAAGGAAGATGGGCGGACGGTACATAACAAAGTTCTCTTCTTATCTCCCCCAAAATTCCATTCAAATGGATAAATATCAAATTGAGGAATAATGCAAAGCCAAGTCCCTAATAAATAGAACATTTGATTAATCTGGTGGAGCTTCTCTCTTGACTTGAGTAGTAAGATGTCCACCATACTATTATCTGTCGCCACTATAATGTTATTCACGAACTGTAACGCACGCACAATGCCATCGTGTACCATAATAATGTCTTGGGCCAACACCATAATTAATGGCAAAACAGAGTACATTATCATATTAATCCAAAGCACAATGTCATTGGCCACCAAAACATATCGCCGGTTATCGAGATTAAACGTGAAATATATAATACAGTCGTTTAAGCGAATGGGACCTTCATATCCTTCGATGCCCACCGTCCATTTACTTACGGATAGCGAGGAATAGAGGTCTCCTTCTCCAAATCCTTTTGAATCGCCACTCCATGATGAATGTTGGTAGAACGTAACGACATGCAAGTTTCTGGATGTGAATCCTCCGACACAAATCAGACTTGGCACTTCTTGAAAAAGTATTTTGGAGGAGGCTACCCTCTGAATTACATAGATGGGTGGGAAGGCATGGAAGAAGATGAGGAGTCGGTGATCTCGAAAGAGATTAATTGAAGAGATGTAATATCTTGAAATCTTCTTAGAAGGACCAACGAGGGATTCAGAGAAATTGGCCCGCTACAGGCAGCATATCATTTAATTTACGTTTTTAATAATGTGCTAATTTATTTCAAAGAACAAAAAATGAAGGTGGAAAAAAATTAATGGACGGAGAGAATTATATATTTAACTTCTTGATATCATTTTCTTTTTATGGTGTTTGGCTGAAAGTCTGTAGTAAAACATAGCACTTATCTTCAAAACAGGAGTGACATATTTTTATGGTAAAAATAAGACTATTACTCTCTGACAATATAATATCGTAAATTTGACATTCTACCGTGTTTTTTTTAAATTAAATGTAGGCATTATTAGCATTATGGTTGATTGGTTGAGATCTCTGTGTATGAGCTTATTGAATCTGATCAAAAATTTTTAAGACTGAATTTGTTTTGACCTGATTGTAATATAATTTAAAGTTGTTGCTAATCTGAATTGATATATTCTGATAAAATTAATTAATAAATGAAAAAATTGAGTTAAAAAAATGACCTAAATATCATATTTTGGAATAAAAATATGAAAGTCATATTTTAGTTCTATTTTGCAGATTTGATATCTACACTACTTCTTAAAGAATATTCTCACATCATAAATATTTTATTATTACTTTTATTTTTTGTGAAAAGTCCGTGCATTTCCTTACCATAGGACACAAGGGAACTTATCTCCTGGGAGTATATCTCAAAGATTTTTCACTTTGACGATAATATATAGCATGGTATTATAATAGAATATAATCAATGAATAATCATTCTATAGCATGGGCATTACGTGTTTAGGGGTTCAATATTTAACTCTCTTCCAAATTTTTGTCTAATTTTGACCTTTTAATTTTGCAGCCAAACAAGATCAAACTTTGACCTATGACTAATAGATGGTCCGAAAATCGCAAATATAGTCCTTTTTTAACAAACCTAGAATAAATTGCAACTTCGGGAAGGCTCGCTCTTCCATTTGGAACAAGTTCAAAGAAAAAGAAGGACCATTCCCATAAAAGAAGAACTACAAGAGTAATATTTGATAATAGGAGATTAAATATAGAAACCTCTCTATTATAAAGAACCAATTATAGAAGTTACCCTATAGAAAAAAAGATTTTGAAATCCATAATTTAAATTATACAGGTCTAAATGAAATAATGAGAATCCCTTCCGAGTCAATCAAACAGGTTTTATAGACTTCAGGTGTGCTTAAAACATTCCAAATAAAAAACTATAAATAAAAATTTAAAATTTAAAATATAACCTTTAAAATTAAATATATTAAATTTAAAAAATTAAACATTAAAAATTTAAAAATAAAAATAAAGATAAACAATTAGAAATTAAAGTTTAAAATTTTAGAATTAAAAAATTAAGGTTTAAAATTTAGAATTTAAAATAAAAAATGTAAAACTAAAAATTTAAATTTAAGATTTATAATTTAAAATAAAAAGCCAAAAGTTAAAAAGTAAATATAAAATAAAAGAATAAAATTTAAATTTATAATTTCAAAAATTCGAAACTCAAAATAAAAAATATAAAACTAAAAATCGAAAATTTTTAAAAATAATATTAAAACTTAAAAATTTAAAAATTTAATTTTAAATTTATAGTCTAAACTTTTAACTTTAAATTCCAAGTTTCAAATTTTATTTTTAGTTTTTAAATTTAAATTTTTAAATTTTTGTATTTTTTATTTTTAGAATTACAATTTTAAAATTTAGATTATAAAATGAGTATAGTATACGGGTTGGGTGGGTAGGGGTGGGGTGGAAAGAAAGGGGTATGGGGTGGATAGAGGTTTGGGGGCATGAGTGGGGAAAATTTTGTTTCGAATTTAGCGGAAAATTTTTCTCTCTAATGAGACAAATGATTTTTTGTGGAATTTTTTTCCACTAATATCACCAAACAAAATCTTTCAGAGAAAATATGTTCTCCTTACCAAACACATCCTAAATTATAAAAAAGATATGTTCTTTTTAAAGTAAACACTTTTATATAATCACTAACTATTTATATAATAATTACTACTACTTTTTTAGATAATGTTTTGATTTTTATTCATTTTTAAAAAAGATTGACTAAATATAAATTTGTACAAAATATTATTGCTGGAAATGCTTAAACATGAGAAATGAAAAGATTAAATCTAGATAAAAACAAATGAGGGTATTTTTGTCCAAACATACATGTATATGAAAATGAGAAAATAAAATTTGAAGAAAAAAAGGAGAAAAATGAAAGTTAAGGCCCTGTTCCGTTTAACTTATTTTTTCTGTTTTTTTTGTTATTCTTATTAAAATCAAATCATACTAAATCGGATCAAATCTGATCTGATCTCATCAGATGAGATTAGATTAGATCTGATCTGATCGAATCAGATCAAATTCAATCAAATCAGATCAGATCAGATCCAATAAAAAATTATTATTACTCCGTATTATTTTAAATTCCATACTTTTTACTTGTTTCACTTGATACGATTCTTTCAAAAATTAAATTTAATTTCTCTTGAAAAAAATAAGAAAAAAGAAAATGAAACTTTTGTGCGATTATAATTTATGTAGAGGAAATTAAAATGATATTTTATTTGTGCAATCATAATTTTAAGGTACATTATTCCTCACTTTTCATCAATGTTTTATAGTATGAGTGTGTAACATTTTATGCAATTTATTATTTATAGCATACAACGTTTTCTTTGTCAAGCACATCTAGAATGTAATATATTATTATACAAAATGCAGAAAAATATATTATTTCTTTGCTTAACATTGATATTTTATAAGGATGAGATATTTTAATAAAAATATTATCTCTTCTCTATATTGATTATCTACATTTAATTACTTCTTAATGTATATATGAATTAAAAATTTATTCTAATGTATATATGAACTACTTATTAAAAAATTAAATCAATATTCTTATTTCATAAAAAAAATAATCATAAAATAAAAAACATTATTACATTATAATATGAATGATTATTATAATATATGAATTAACTAATTTTATTTCTTTAAAAAATAATCATAAAATAAAAAATATTGATTATATTATAATATGAATTATCATTACAATTTTCAAAAGTTATTATAAAGTTACATCAAATTATTGATTTGAATTTTAAATCAAATCATAATTAATCAGATTAGATTAGATCTAATCAGATCAGATCTAATCAAATCAGATGAGATCAGATCAGATCCAATCAGATCAGATGAGATCTACAAAAAATCAGATCAGATCAGAAAAAATAAGTTGAATGGAACGGAGCCTAAATCTGGATTGAGGGGATAATTAATTATAATTAATATACTTCTATCTCGTATCAAATTAAGCTAATTGTTTATTATTTATATGGTCAAACTTTATTTCTTTTTTTTATTTATTTAATAAAATTCATAAAAAATACTACAATTATGTCATTTCTTGTTTCATAGAGCTTTTAATATAATTTTTTAATATGCAAAGTTTATTTTTCAATTTGCGTTTAGTTCTCTAATAAATTGAAATTCGAAATAGAGGGAGTATCTTATTATGTGGCCATGGATGAAAGGGAATCCAATTCTAAAAAGTCGCTATAGAAAACAATTCCGATCCATTTCGCCTTAAAGGATAAATTCGATCGGACTGGGTCCAATCTCCCCGATCCGGTACTTATGCTTTTCTGACTTGGGGTTGACTCTTGGACTATTACTCTGACCCGACCCACTTAATATTCAGTTTGGACGGATGGGCCAAGTTATATTCATACAGAAATCAATGATATTAGGAGGGGCTTCCCATGACATTGGGAACCAATGTCATAGGATGACACGGGGTGCTCCGATGCCACGTTTGTAAAATTGACGTTTCCTACCTCCCCTAATCCCCCCGATAAACTCCCCCACCTCGCCCGACCCGAACACCCCCCCACCCCCTTCATTTATAATAATTATTACTCCCATATGTCTCGATACTGTTTTGAATTTTTCATATTTTTGTGGGAGGTTGACAAAACATTCTTAATAAAAATGATTAAACATGAGAAATGGGAAGACTAAATAAGACGAAAAAGAACGGTATTTTTATCCAAACATACATGTAAATGAGAAATAAGAAAATTAAATCCGGATGAAGGAAAAGAAGAAATCAAAAAATTAAAGCTAGATAGAGCAGTAATTAATCATAATAATGAATTATAATTACTCTAATAATTAATTATAATTAATCTGATTAATATAATGTCTTCAGCACGGTTCCTGCGACATTGAACAATGTCGTAAGACAACCCGAGCCTCTTACGGAACTCTGTTGGTAGATTTGATGGATCATACCCCCTAACACCCTCTGTCACCTAAGATCGCTGATTGGCAACAGTGCTCATTGTATCTAATCAGTCATCTTGGGGGTGGGGGGGCAGTGGGAGATGCAGGGGCCTAGGAGCTTTAGGGGGTTAAGGTGATAAGAACAATCAATTTTGGCATTAGAACCCGATATGAGATTCGGGTCATTCTTTGACATTCAAATCGAATGTCACAAGAATCGTGTCGTAATGTCTTATTAGAGCATCTTTACTAGTTCCTCTCAATTCCACCCTTCTCTCTCTCTTTTTCCATTTCACATCACTTTCCCTCTTAACTTTTCTTACATCACTTTAATAATTTTCAGACTTTCTATTCTTTTTTAAATATTGGACCCCATTTGTCATAAATCATTTTATCTAATAATTTTTATTATAATAAAACAAGCCAATTTATTTATGATAAATTAACTAAATTTATACATTTAGTTTTGATATAAAATATGTTCCACAACTTTTTTTAAAAAAATATTTTATAATTTAAAATTGACATATTAAATCTTCTATCTCTTCTTTTCCTCTCTATACTTTAATCCTTACTTTAATCCTTCCACCTATATTTCCTCTATGCCCTCAAACCCTTACTCTCTTCTTTTCCTCTATATAGTATACTTTAATCCTTCCTCTATATTTCCTCTATGCCACCTAATATTTTCTCAAGCAATCTTTCATGGATAAAGATGCTCTTAGAGCATCTCTAGTCACACTTTCTAAATATGGCTTGTTAATGTCATTTTTTTAGCATATGAACAATGGTATTGCAAGTTGTTAGACAATAATACTAATAGTATTTCTTGTAGTATTAGTTATGGTAGTGTTTCATTATTAGTCAGCTTCCTAATCCTATTTGTGGTAGATGTTGTATTTTAGTTAGACTTCATTCTTTATTCTTAGTTGTGTTAGTAGTCTCTCATGTATACTCTATCATGTACTCTATAATTCAAGGAGCAATATTATTATTTCAATATTTCAACACAAGTCATTTTGCATTGTTTTCTTCAATCTTTACTTGCTATAATTTAGCTCTAATTTCACTATTATAGTATACTATTTATTATGATTTTTAAATTTTACTATTTTGTGTTATAAAAATTAAGTAATATTCTACAAGTATGCAATTTAAAAATGATATGGAGTAATTTAAAATAAAATATTTTTGGTAAAACCATAGTTTTAAAACCAGACTGAATTTGCCCGTTAGAAATGGAAACCGGTGAACTTGAGTCCGGTCTTGCCCTAAAAACCAGTAAGAACCGCGGGTCGAACTTGTGAACCAGTTTTGTTTTTGCAAAATTCTTCAAAATTCTTAACATCCATTGGATTCCCACACCTATTACCTTGTATACCACGTCCAAGTATCAACCACTTATGATAGAGCACTCTTTTGTTCCATTTAAGCATAAACCTCTATAATATAACATACTTCATGATTAAAAGAATAAACTTTCTAAAAAGATTGTTTTTCATTTTTAAAAACCTTGAAATAATAATGTTGTAAAAGAATATAAAGGAGTTTATTTTCATTTATAATATAATACACTTCCCAAGATTGTTTTTCATTTTCCTAAAAAATATCATGTTGTAGCTATGGTTCAAACTTTTACCCATCGATATAAATTCAAAGTACATATCGTGAAAATATCTCATTTAAATATGTTTTGAAAATATTATGCAACTTGTTGGACAAATAAAATCATCTCTTACTTTATGTAATTTTTAAATATTTTATAGTAAGTATTTTTTTCAAGCTACAACTCAAATAAATTAAATTAATTATACTTTTAGTCGTACGTCATAAATTATTTATTTATATAAAGAGGAAGTATTATTTTTTAATGTAGTTATATATATATATATATATATATATATATAATGGGTAAAACAATAAAATGATTTTTAAAATTAAAATAAAATAAAATAATATTTTTTCTCTTGCGTTGTGGTACTAATTTGAGGGAACAAATGTGTTGTGGTACTAAAAAAAGTAATCCAATCAACATTTTTCTTCGTCTTTTTGGCGTGCTATATTTTATCAAGTTTGTTATAAATAGCAAACCATTTAATTTTTTAGCAAGCTTGTTAAATATTGGCGAGCCTCTTAAAGCATGAAATTTTGTTTAACTTTTCAAATCTTTTATCTTTTATATATAAATTTCAGAGTCAAATCTCTTAGCAGCTAACATGTGTCAAGTCATATATGTTACGGAGTACATTATAACAATTATATATACGTGAAAAGTTTTTTAATTTTAATACTTGGCTCAAATTTAATAAAATAAGTCTTAAAATTTACAATACGGGTTTTAGATGTATGTATTTTTTTAATAAAATAGCATAGTCATGTCAATTATTTATTACATGTATATACATCAAAAAATCTAATAGATTTAGTTGTTTTATTAAATGATCAATGAAAAGATACACATTCTGATTTACTTGTTCCATTCTCCATCAATATTTGTTTAAATTTATTTAATTCAGATATTTATTGATCAAAAGTCAAAACATATTTAATATACATCTACATTGATATGTTATTTATATAATAAAACATTATTTATTTTTATGGCAATTTACTAATAAAAAGTTATTTATTTTGAATAAACTATTACTTAAATAACATAAATAGTATACTAAGACAAATTTTAAGACATGTAATAGAAAAATATAATTATTAATTATTGTTGAATAATTTTGAAAGAATTTCATTCTTTATATTTTTTATATTAAGGGATGAAGTAATATTAATGTTATTATTATTTCAATGCAGTAATATTATTGTATGTATATATGTTCTTTGAATATATGCAATTGTGATCGTTTGAAGAGAATTTTTCTATTAATATTTCTCTCTTTATTAAGAAGAGTGTCATTCCTTATTCAATTAAATAGATAAGTATTTGTTTAAAATGTACCTACAAACATATTTTAATAATAACAATAAAAATAGATAAAATAGTTTTAAATATAACTATATTCAGGTCAGATCAAACTAGACCAGATCAGACTAGATCAGAACTTATTTCAATCCAATTAGAACCTTTCAGTTTAGATGAAAAGAACATAGTCTTATACGAAAAAATAATCTTTCACCTCATCCCATATGTTTTACTAGTTGGTAGAAATAAATTTTTTCCCCAAAAAATATTTTCTATTTTTTGTTAGGAAGAGATTTCATTAAATGAGTACATTATTGAATTCTTAGTGTTATTAAATCTATTGCAATGCAGTATCAGTTTATTTCTACATTATTGATATTTTAATAAAAAATAAAGATGCTTTGAGATAATTTTAAAATATGTTAGGCATCACATCTACTTCTTTTATGCACGATTAGTCGATTACCACCAAATTTTCATTATCGAGCTTCTTTATTTAAGGTTTGGGTGAGGGAGTGAGTGTTGATGGACCCTCGGGGATGTTGTTCATCCGTTACAAGGGAAAACATATTTTTCTTCAAAAATAATTTTCTACTATCTATGTAGTCAAACTAAAATATTATAATTAGAATCTTTTAGAAAAATATTTTTTCCTTCAACCAAACAGACTTTAAAAATTACAAATAATTAAGAATAAAACCTTTAAAAAATTAGTACATAATAGAACAAAATTTTATTTAACCTCGTTCGAGGCAGATATAAAAATACTACTTCGTAGTTGTAAGTTGTACTCCCTCCGTCTGGAAATAATCTTCCCATTTGACTTTTCTTGGTCAAATTTTATAAACTTTGACTATGATATATGGAAAAAATACATTGTATCACGATATAACTTTAATATGAATATTTTTTTTGATATATAGTTTTCAAATATCAAATTTATACAAAATACATCTATGTATAAATAAAGATATTAGTAGTCAAAGTGCAATCTTGAAAACTGTAAAAAGTCAAATGTGAAGAAAATTTTCAGACGGAAGAAATAACATATAGGGAGTAATAGACTATTTTAACATGGGAGATGCTCTTATGTGGTGGCCACATGGATGAGATGGAATCCAATTCTGAAATGTTGCTACAGAAAAAGAAAAAAAATCCGATCAATTTCGCCTTTAAGGATAAATTCGATCCGATTGAGTCAAATCCCGCGGGTCCCGCACTTTGCTTATGGTTATAACTCCGAATTTACATTTCCCATTTTCTTCTCGCAAACCCTCGAACATCTGTGCTCTACTCTAATGGAGCCAAAGTCCCCCGGTCACTCCCCACAACACCGAAAGAGAGGCAAAAGGAGCTATCTTGAAACCCAGATCCCCGACACCTCCACTCAATCGTCGTCTACCCCAGAACCAGACCTCGCCTTCCCTCCGCTTCTTCCAGAGATTCTTTTAGAAATCCTCTCAAGACTCCCTGTAAAGTCCCTCTTGAAATTCCGGTGCGTATCCAAGTCATGGCGCGATCTGATTTCCAGCTCCGATTTCGTGAAATTGCATCTGAACGTGTCCTCTTCTAGGAGGGATTATGCCGACCACAGAATTCTGAGCAGTTTGGTTGGGCTGCAGTTCACCCTGAAGCAATGCTCCCTCAAGTCTGTGATGTTCCATCCCGTGACGGAGGCGTTCGAGGTCGATTATCCCTTGAGCAGCCCATACAATTCAGTCTGGGTTGTTGGTTCTTGCAATGGGTTGGTTTGCATTGCCATTGAAGAGAAAGATCTGTTTATATGGAATCCGGCCACCCGGAAAATCAAGAACTTGCCCGATGCGGGTGTGGAGTTGAAGGCCGGGTTCTATTTCATTTACGGGTTCGGGTATGACGAGTTGAATGATGATTACAAGGTGGTTGGTATTTTCTCCATCTTCCACAGCAGTGGTTCATGTGAGACTGAGGTTATGTCGTATAGCTTGAGGAGTGATTCCTGGAGGATAATTGGGGATTGTAAGGGTGGGGTTTTGTTGAACGCTGCGGGTAAGTATGTCAATGGTAAGATCCATTGGGCAATGTGTCCTGACGGTGTTACTGGCAGCTTGGAAATTGTTTCACTAGACTTGTCTAAAGAAGTCTTTGGAAAGGTAGGACAGCCGGATTATGGAGAAAGACCATCTGAATTGACATTGGGAGTGCTTTGTGGTGATCTCTGTGTGATCTGCCAGTATGAGATGTATCAGATGGATCTATGGGTCATGAGGGAATATGGAGTGGTTGAGTCCTGGACTAAGATTGTAGCGATTCCACCTACGGATGATCCTATGTACCAATCATTCTCCTCTCCATTAGGCATAGGTAACAATGGTGAAGTTGGATTGGTGTCTGGAACAGACATTGTCGTCTATGATCCAAAAACTCAAGCACTTCGCTATCCTGAGATTACCAACTTTGGTGATATTCTTGAAGCCGAAACCTATGTAGAAAGCTTAGTTTCTCCCATTTCTGATGGTGAAGCAGGGAGAAACCAGCAGTCATAAAGAGGGCAATGGACTAATGAGAGGTAAGGTAACATTATAGAGTTTGTGTTTCATTTTTTTCATATAGGTTTTAATACACCCAATGTGCCACCTTTTGCATAGATCTCTGAATGAAATTGTTTCATGATTGTTGCAGGCAATTGGCATATCTAGATCCAACTAGATTATTTATTAGTCTGTATAGCGGATTAGCGGTTCTTGTCTAGTGGGAAAGGCTTGGTTTGGTTTGATTTATCTGTTTTTATATGCAGAACAGCCAGAACAAAGTCATTTTTGTTTGAGACATTTAGGTTAGTTTGCACATTTTTAGTTGTTGTGTACTAGTATACAAATTCTCTAATTCGGCGATCTTGAACTGGGTAAAGAACTTCATATTTTACACTTTCTGCCACAGTAGTGTGATAGCCAATTACTACAAATTAGCTAGAGGCATTGCTAAGCTTTATATGCATGACAATCCTTTTTGTTTGCTTGCTTCCTTTCTTTTTGCACTTTTCTCAAACTAGTTATGGTTATCATTGCATTTGCTGCACATATTTGGGTCTTGGTTATTCCCAAAAGGTTAATTCTTGTCAAATTTCATTTAGGCAGGGTTTCTGAGAATGGATTTGGCTATGCCCAAAGTGCAGAAGAAAGCGCGACTTGGAGATTTCCAAGTCCACAGGGCTTCACCTCTTATAGTCCTTCAATCATCTTTGTGTAATATCTTCTTCTTCTTCTTCTTCGTCTTCTTTTAAATAAGTAAAGCTGTAGATCCCTTGTGGATAATGTATGTGTGATGATTATATGCTTGTTTGCTTCATGAGTGAAGTTGTCACTACCTAAGTTTATGGTGATCTTAAGGTGGATGATTTGTGAATAAAGATGTGGCATGTGATTTGATGTTATAGAGTAGAGCATATTATGGTGCAAAACTGTTCTTCATTCTAGCATACAACATAACCAAAAACTCATGCAGAAAGGATGCCTAAATTGTTTGTCGGTGTAGGCGGAGTGCTTTGTGAAGTAGTCAGAAACTAACCGGTCATGACCAGCGAAAAATAAAACATAATATAAAATTAAAGTTCAATAAAGTTACAAAATAGTCTCAGTTTAAATAACTAAATATCCAAAAATCATACCCTCGTGATCTTGATTTTAATAACGGTTTTCATCTTCATGTCGCCGAGGACTGTGCAGTTTAATGTTGCGGCAGAAGAATCTATGTTGCGTCCGTCACCTGTCAAACAAAATTGTTCCGCTTCGTAGTGTTAATTCCAGATTATGTTGGCATTGTTTTTTTGACAAACGAATAGACTTATCTAGAGTTATTTGTAGTTTTTTAAATTTAGAGTTAGAGACCAAGGGGGTGTTTGTTTTTTGACCAGAAAAGCTTCTGGCCTCTTTTGTCTGCGCCGCGCAGACGCGTGCAGATGTTGAGCTCTGCAGATTGTTTGTTTTTTGGAAGACATTTCACTAAAAAAGGTCTTCCTGGCATCTTCTTGGAGAAGACATTAACCCATGTCTTCTAACATCTTCTCCATTTTTTTTCTTCTACTTCTTTTCACCACCACCACCGTCCACCACCATCACCG